CCCCCGGGGGTTTCCCCCCCCCCAGCCGGCCCCCCAGCCCCGGGGGTCTGACCCCCCTCCAGTCCCGCCTGGCCCCGGGGGTCTGACCCCAACCCAGCCAGCCCTGCCTGGCCCTGCTCCAGTCCCGCCTGGCCCTGGGGGTCTGACCCCAACCCAGCCAGCCCTGCCTGGCCCTGGGGGTCTGACCCCAACCCAGCCAGCCCTGCCTAGCCCCGGGGGTCTGACCCCCCTCCAGCCAGCCCTGCCTAGCCCCGGGGGTCTGACCCCCCTCCAGCCCTGCCCAGCCCCGCCCGGGGGTCTGACCCCCCTCCAGCCCTGCCTAGCCCCGCGGGCCTGACCGCCCTGCCTAGCCCTGGGGGTCTGACCCCCCTCCAGCCAGCCCTGCCTAGCCCCAGGGGTCTTTCCCCCCCTCCAGCCAACCCAACGTTGCAGTCCAGCAAGCCCCGGGCCAGCCCCCACAGGGAGCGGGAGTGCAGCAGACGGGCTGAGGCCAGGGCCAGGGGGAGCGGAGGGGCCGTGGTACCTTGGTCGGGGCAGAAGCCCCACTTGTGGTCAGTGTCGTAGTTGCTGGTGGTGGCGCACCAGAGCTTCCCGTCCTGCCGGCCCTCGCTGGTGCAGGCGCCGTAGGTCTGGCCCAGGAAGGTGAAGGGGAACACGCAGGGGTCGCCCTGGGAGTTCCCGCCAATCACAGCTGTGTCTGCAGCACAAACCAGCAGTGCTGTCTTCAAGTCGAGTCCAAGTGGAGTCTCAAGTGGCTACAGTTTAAGTCCAAAATCGAGTCTCGAGTCCCTAACGTCACTTTGGAGTCAAGTCCCAAGTCGAGTCTCGAGTCTTCATTTTAAAAATGTCACGTCGCTTTCGTACAAGCCGTCAATATCGGCATTTTCGGACAATTTTTCACCAAGTCGATTGAACAAAATGAGCAAGTCTCAAGTCGAGTCTCGAGTCACAAACAATGAAGCCGAGTCGAGTCTCGAGTCGAGTCACCTGGCGACTTAGGTCGGACTCGAGTCAACAACTCTGCAAACCAGCCTGGTGAGCCGGACTCCAGCCCCCTGGCGGGGAGCAGCCCAAGGAGACGCCCACTGGGGCAGCTGCCCCTGCAGACACAGACTCCCTGGGGCCCCTGCGGGTAGAGGGCTCAGAGTGGGGGCAGGCAGCGAGGGCCTGGCTTCTGAGGAGTCTGGGGCCAGCCCAGCTCGGGCACTTGCCCCTAGAAAGAACCCTCCTGCCCAACAGGCCCTGGGCAAGGGAGCCAAGGCCAGCAAGTGCCAGGGGCTGGGAGTGAAGCAGCAGCTCCCAAAGCCAGTCCCCTCTCGGGGTCCCTCTGCAGCTGGCCCGGGTGGTGCGAGCGGCCACAGCAGAGCCCACGGGGGGGAGGCCGCTGGGC